GACACAATTGCTAAAATAATTCCAACTTCTAATGAAATATTTAATAAATAAATTCTAATTCCTAAATTGTCACGATTCCGTAAATTAAAATCTATTTTGCCTAGCGATCGCGCAGGGTCTCGCTCGATCGTCTCTCGTTCAAGTGAAATGCGTCGGAATTTCGAGAGCTCGTCGCGTTCGAGAAATTTGACGAAAAATGTAATCTATCGTTCGACGAAATATCGCCACGGGGTCATAACCGATTGCGGGAAGAGATGTACTCTCCCTCCCAAATAAAACGTCGATTGTCTTTCGCGATGTGATCCAACGACTAAGATCAATTAAAACGGCAGAAGCACGAAGGAAGTGGCTAGAGATTTTCACGCAATAAAAGGAGCGCTCCTCGCTAAACGACCGGACAAGCCGTGGAGTTACGCGCGACCGATCTAACGGATCATTTGCGATCTCGTCGGCATTGGCGATCCAGCGTGGACCATCCTGACGCAGCGGCAGTCGCCCCGTGCTCCCCGTCGTTTCGTGTGAACTGGGTGTCGTGTGCGAGTGGGTGGGTATGTATGCTGGTGATGCACATGATGATTGATGCGTTATAATAATGTGTATACGTGTACACAGTCAACAAATCTTATTACATCTAATTTGTCTTTTTTTCACGCAGCGATGGGAAGACAGAGCTTAGAGACCCTTCCGGCTCCGATGTACAATAACGCGGTGGGGAAGATTGGGCGGAAACAGGTAAAAAGGATACGCGAGGGCAAAGTGGGTGCGAGGGAGAGGGACGGAGTAGGGGGGGGGCGGGGGTAAGGGACAAGGTGATCGATAGTCGGCGTGCTTCTAATTTTTATTCGGGATGTCGAAAGGCAGGGGGGGGGAGGACGGGGAGGAGGGGACACACCGAGAGGGGACATTTAGAAACATTGATATGGCGCATGGTAGTGCTCGGGGTGTCTAGAACCTGATATGTAGGAGCAGGTATACGTCACCGGTAATACTTGGGTTCGTTGGGGGATCGCTAGAAAGGCTACACTGCGCTTTGGCTTGTTTTGTACGATCCGGTCGCGCGCGCGCGCCCGAAGATCCGATTCGAGAAACGGAAACTGTACAGTTTGTTAAATTTGTGTTAATTAAAATAAAATTTGTATAGCTTTTATTTAATTTAATGGACTTACATCAGTTAAAATAAAGTCACCGTGTTATAAGATTGTCGTAATACGTAACGATTTTGCATACTGCTTTTAGGAGATATTTTAAAATAGTCACGTGAATGTAACTAAAGGGTAAAACTTACAAAATCCTACCGTTCTGATTATCCGTAGACTAGATTAATTTAATTAGGCAAACTAAATAAATTAATGCGAATGTTCTTGCGTTTCTTCGTTCATTCCATCTATCGAACTCGTTGAAATGAACAATACGAAATCCTGATAACGAGAGGCAGGATCGTCGGATGAGCTCACGTAACTCTTTCTTCGTGTACAAAAGAAATCAAAGCGCACCGGTATTAATACCCTTTCGCAATACCATTAATTAATAACAATATTAACGATATGTACCTACGCTGCATTAACCACCTAAGTATCTAACTAACGAGCATTAAACCTAACGCCTTAAACGCAATGTTCATTTAACATATGTACTTATTTCGGGCCCGGCGTTCGCAACGCGGCCGCGGCCTATAAATAATCATAACACTAATAATAAGGATTAATGATAATTACATTATCGATAATTAACCAATAAAACCTCATGCGATTGCAAATATATACATATAGATGGGATATGTATTAGTAAGATCTAAAACCAGTTATTATCCATAGCTTGCTCTCAAAGTTACAATTAATTATCGACACAGATGGCTTCATCTTTACAACCTCGAGTTCGGTGTGGTATGTTATGCGTTACGCACGTGGTATTCTGCGTGAGATAACATGTAGTCGTGCTTACATACACAGTGCCTATGTATACCTCTCTACCTGGAATACTGTACCGTTTACAGGATCACTACGGGCTACCAAATTACAATTTGATTTTGTACACGTTTAGAACCTGTTCACCAGAAGATGTCCGCGAGATGTCCCCGGACTCATCGTATAATATAGTATATTTACGCAATGTACTTTTATTTATTTCCGCGATTAACGCGTGTCTGCTTACGTTTTCTCGTCCACCGATGCGTTTAATTTAATTAGTAGATCCACTAGATAAGCGTGACACTTAGCGCGAGAGAGAGAGTACGCGAACTTACTCGTAGGGGTTCCTCTTCGTACCAAAAAGAAAAGAGACAAGAAAAAGTAAGCTATGTACATCCATTCGTCCATTGGAAAGAGACGCGCGATTAATCTTAAATCGTATGTGTCTTTTCTATATCCACCCCTGCCCCCTTTCAACCCTTAACTGCAGCGCCAGGCTCCCGAGGACTTACTTTTGGAACGTTATCTCCTCAAGGGTAAATTTCTCATTATTTCTCCTTCGATCAATCAGACATGCTTTTATAACGCGACGGAGTAACGCTTCCTTGTTCTTTTTTTTTAACGTAAGCACGGGAAAGAAATTTAGTCCTGTTGAGAAGCGTTTGTCTCTATTGTCGTTTGCTCATTGCGCCGATCTCGTTGAGCCTCTCGACCGCGGCCGCGCAGAAAGTGCGAGCCCGCCGTTACAAAACGAACCGCCGAATATTTTTACGCCATCGCCGGACGCATCCGCCGTCGTTTCCTCCCCCCGATTGTGTCTTTCGACGCGGCGCGTAATTACGCAATCGCGCAATTCTCCCCCCGGGAATTCTGCGGCGTCAGTCCCGGCGGGTGCCCCGGTCGAGGGTTGATATGCAAACCGTGAGCTTCTCACCCCCTCCCTCGGCGCGAGGCTCGTCATCTTCTGATGCACAGTACTCGAAATGATGTATATATATATATATATATATATATTTATTTATTCAATTAAAATGTATTGTACAGATTATATACACACGTATATATATATACCCATATATATAATCTGTATAATATATGTATATATATTATACAGATAACAAGTATTTGTACATGTTATGTCTCTCTTTAGATTTAACCCCCTTCCAACTGGCTAGTGCCACTCTATCGCGACGGGACAAGCGGCTGCCCTTAGGAATTTTTGCGGATTACGAAACTATCTGAGTTTCACCTCGCTCTCATCTTGTTCGTCATCGGGCTAATCTATCGGTCCTGGGTTTGACGTTTATCGGAGACCATCGGGCCTACATACATTAGATCTACAACCTGGTTCTCGGCTCTTCACTCTTTCCTCTTTTTTTTCATTTTGTTTTAATTACGCTCGCGGCGCACGCGGAAAAGGGTTAAATGTAAAAGGTCGATCGTCGAAAAGGAGGGTGAGAAGGGGGCGAGGGGTGGACGCGCCTGGGACTCCATCCCCGTTTGCGCGGTCTCGCGCCGGATCGAAAATGCGGCGACCGGGACGAGCGTGTTTGTATGTTAAGCGAGCGTTCGTTGTAATTACGTTCTACGTACGTTTCTTTACTTACTTTACCGGAGTCTTAGCGCGCGGGTAAAGTGTCAGAAAATAAGCGACAGTCTGGTTATGCGCGCTCGATTCCTCGATTTAAAAGCGCCCTTTTCACGACGCGCTGTGTTAAACTTGGAGCGGGATCCTCGTCGTTCGAAAGTATCGCTCCAGTCGAGATGCTGCGGAAAATGCTGCACCGCTGCTGTACAATTCCTCGAGAAACTGAGACGAGCGATCGATCTCGCGAGTCTCGTCTCCCTTTTTTTTTCCTTCCTCGATTTACTGCACTCACTTTCGAGAGAAACAAAGACACAAAAGTAAAAAAAAAAGAGCGAGTAAAAGTAAAGACAAAATTCTCATATTATCAAGAGCTGCAGGAAAAATTTCAATATTTAATTAAATAAGAGGCAAGGGGCTTACTCGCGCGAACAATCGTGGATAAAAGTAATTGCTTAATTTTTTCTGAGTAATATGAAGAATTAAGATAAATTCCTTTAAAACAATCCGAGAAAGATCGGTTTTTTTTTGTTCTAAAAGTGTCCGAGACTGAAGTCGAATGGATTTTACATTCGAAAGTGCGGCCTCGAGAAATTGCACGACCGGGTGACGTTACATCTCGAAGATTCGTCTATTCGATTAGATATCGAGTACGCATCGACATACACTCTTGATTTAAACGCCGTACTCCGCATCACATAAATATAAATATATATATATGTGTATATATATATTTATATTTATGTATATGTATTTTATATATATTTATCTACAAAACTGTATGATATGATTACACGTCCTAAACTGCTTAGAATCTAACTTGCCTTACGTCTTAGGTCCTGTTTTGCTAAAATCAAAACTTCGAAGGGCTCCTCGGGTGAAACGTGATGTGTGTACTTCCCTATAAGGGAACCGACCTAAATTTTACATATATTAGTAATTACAGAGTTATAATAATAATAATAATAATAAAAATATAAGAATGTGATGTAAAGCAATTCGTCACTATCTTCCCAGAGAGGAGCGGGTCTCCGGGGGGCCCCGATAAAATAATCTATGTATGTCTCGTTGGAACATGAATGCAACCGTGAATCAAAGTGCGATAACGAAACGACGCGCGGTGAATCGGCGCGCGTCGCTTTCTAGCTTAGTACCTTCTTGTTTCATTTACTTCTCTCCCTTGTTTCTCCGCCCTTTGCTCCCACGCGGTTTCTCCCCGCGTCGACACGTCGATCGTCCCTTACGATCGACAACGGCTTCAGCGTTCTCCTCGCCGTCGGCGATCGTCGCGGGGATCGTTCCCCGGCGCGCGGCCGAAGCCCCCATTTTAAAAACGGTACACACACAACTTATCCTCTAATCGTATTGTAACAAATATTGCCTCGAATATATAAACTTTGTATCCTTATTTAAATTATATCTCATTTGCGTTAGGTCTCTCTTTCTCTCTCTATCTCTCCCACTCTTTCGCTCCCTCTCTCTTTCTCTCGTTTTCTCTCTCTCTCTCTCTCTCTCTCTCTCTCTCTCTCTCTCTCTCTCTCTCTCTCTCACGGACAATGGACAAAACGGCGGGTTGATATTCACGCATCTTTCAAGGGCGCGCGCGTTTCGGCCCTTATTATCTTACGTTACGTATGGCCGAGAAGTCAAAGAGTCTATTTTATTTATTTTAGTTTAGTAGTAGTCGTTTGGTTCGCTTCGCAAAATTTGTTCGGAGATCTAAAACCATTCTTATAAAAACGCCCCTCGGCCCGACAAAATATTACCGAGGGACACTAATATATCGTGTGTTTTTTTTTGTGTGTCGTCGACTTCATCGTTCTTTATTATCGTGTTGGTGTACGTGTGTGTACTTTTTTTTTATTCATTTTCTCTTCGCTTCGATATATAAAATTCTCAATTCGCAGAATCCGCGATCTGATCAAAGGTGTACGGGGTGCCGCGCGGCGCTCGTCGGAGCGCGCGAGCACCGATACGTGTCGTCTCGTCGCAACCTGAACACTACAGCTTTAATTGGGGGAGGGAGGGGGAGGAGAAGGTGGGCCGGGGATTTCTTCGTTTATTCGATTGGAGAAGCGGAGGTACAAGTGAAGACAGAGTGGAAACGGTTTAGTCCTCTTAATTGATAGCAGTCTAGACGACTTTATTGTTAATATGTTTAGGACCCGCGAGAAGCCCCGCGCGACGTAGGGAAATCAAGAAGCAGTCGAGGCTTAATCTTTCACGTCCATCATAAAAACAGATCGGCAACGTGACGGGCGGTCACGTTCGATCGCGAGATTAATTGGGATGACACGTGGCTCCGCGTGAACGCGGTTGATCGTTACTGGTAGGGTCACAGGTTCGATCCCCCGACCCTCATCCCTGTATAAGCTAAACAACAAAAGCATTTACTTCCGTAAAAGAGAATAAAAAAAAACACTTTTGTTGAAAGTATCGAAATTTAGCAGCTGACTCTTAGGTTCTCCATTGTTTATTCGGTTGCACCTTGTCAACGGTGGATTCTATTCCTGGTTGACACAAATTGTGCCTCTCTTCTTTCCACCCAGCGTTTCCACCCTCGTCGTTATCAGTAATTGTATCTTGTACAAGGTGATCCGACTCTGATCCGGGTAACCGGAATCGGTACAACTTTATTCTCGCGACTAAAATGCCTTTTCCATAGGAAAAGCCACAAGAAAGAAAATTAGCAAGTATGTCGTTCGTAAAATAGCGACTTTATGTTTTCTTACTTGGAGATACAAAGATTTAAAACTAAAACGCAACAAAGTTTCAAATTCTACAGATTTATAGAATGCACAATTATAAGAATGCATATGAAACAATACGTTAAATATTATTTTATATGTCAGAATAATTGATAAATCTAAGTATTTAAAAATCTTTTTCCTTCCAATTGTTGTATAGTAAGTGCAAGTCGCCAGTGAAGCGTGACCGTAAGCGTTTGCACTTAGATTTGGTAATTTAAATAATAATTAAAAATCTTCGCGACTAGATTGAGGTCAAAGGCCATAGAGAAAAGCTGCATGCAAAAGTTACTCTATGTAGAATACAAACTTGTTGCCGCAAATCCTTAAAAACATCGTTACTCTAATTAAATATTCAGAATAGTCTTCGTTCAAGAGTTCCAATACGAAATCATTATCCATGTTAAAAAGAGATTTCGGATCAGATTGTCCGGATGAGTGTTAAAATATCGGCGCTAATGTAAAAAAAAAAAAACGGATGTTCGCGGTAAACGACGAGGAGAAAACATTGCCGCGCGACGCTCGCCGCGGGCCGAGCTTATCACGACGAGCAGCGCGTTATTAGACACTCAAAAGCGGGATTGGCTGCGTTCTCGCAGGTCGCGCAGTTTTATGGAGCACGATTGATTCAGATCATTCCTCTGAACACTCCCCTATAATTCTATTTCCCGTGCTTAATAAGTGGTCGGTGAGAAATCTCCGGTTCGTTTATTGGATCCCACAGAATATGGTCGTCGAGGGGCCGCGCTGGCGCGGCTTCAGAACAAATGTCGTGGCGTCGCGGACGTAGCGCCGCGGCGCCGTGAGTTTTCGGGGGGTGAATCAATCAAGGTGACGCGAGCGAACGAACGAGAGAGCGCCTCGTCGCGATCGTGAGAACGCCGAGACGCCATATATCCGGGCTTCGCGGAAGCAGCGCCCACCTGTCTGCTTCGCGAGCAACCACGTGGGATTCCGCACTTTTCGCACTCGACACGGCGTCCGGTTCCCTCCCGCGGAGCCGCGCTCTTCCGAGAGGATTTCCTCGATCTTCCCAGCCGTCCCCCTCTTCCGAGAGGTTCGATCCTCCTCCTCGAACGCGATTCCTCTTCCAAAGCAGTTGGACCGTCCCCGAGCCGTCCCATTACTATCAAGAGAGATCAGCAGCGGCAGATGACCTTCTCGACGGTGGTCGGAAAACAGATTCAGTCTCCTTTTCAGTCGTTCTACGAAGTCATCTCAGATTCTTCATCACCCTTCAACCATTCCCTTTCTGATAGATCGTATTTTCAACTGTTTTCCGAGAGATATCTTCAAACTTCTCCGAACGATTTCTCTCTCGGAGGGGCCAAACTTTCCGCGAGCTGCCTCTTCTCCGAGACAGCTTCGCTCTATCCCCGGGTCGTTTCATCTTCTTCGATCCATCTCTCTTAACTAATGGAGCGCCAGCATCTTCTCTGGCCCGGCAAGTTTCTATCCCTCTTCAGAGCGCTTTCTCGTGTGGCAATCTTGCTCGAGACGGTCCTTGGTTCTCTCAAAGAAATTCCTCGGCACCGGGCGCCGATCCGTCGAGCGACAGGTTTCCGCGAAAAAAATGGCCCGCGCGCGCGGTTCCTCGCGTAACGTACCGATTTACTTCCAAGCCCTTTGATATGTATGCGCGTCGGAGGCCGCGCTGGTCTCCGAGCTATTTACAGGAGGTCTCCAAAATTGGAACGCGGCGTGTCATTCGTCTCGCCCTTCCCCGCGAGACGCCGCGAAAATTCGTGACCAGCCGGCCGCGAAGGATTCCCCGCGGCTTCAGCAGCACCGACGACGCTGCTCCGCCGCGACGTTTTCCCTCCGACGTGTCTCCTCCGTTGCACTTATATACCCCACCTCTCGTCGGACGCCGAGTCCCCCGTGTCCGACCCACGTTGACAACGTGTCTCTAGCGGGACACGGTACTATTTAGGCGTCGAGTTACACACCGTACCATCGGAAACTTTCCCAAGCCTTCGACCGCGACGGGATGAAGACTCCGAGAGCGACGTGTCCAAGAATACACGCGACCCTTTTCCGAAGCCGGTAGACCTCGGCGGACAGGCCGGCGGAACACACGACCGGTCCGGTCTCCCTGTCGCGTTCGATCGAAAATAAACGCTGCCGCGACGTGCGTTTCCTTGTCGCCGCGGGGAAACGTGACCCCGATTATTCTTCTCGTCCTCGGAGAGTTCATCCTCGGCCGATCTCGCGTGCGTTCGTCTCACCCAGCCCGTCAGGGTACGGGCCCGCCGTATCAGTAGGGCCAGAAGGTAGGCAATGGGGGCGGAGGTGGTGGCGGTACGGTCGGATAAAGGGTCGGGGTGGCTATCAGGAGACAGGTGGGTGGCGGCAGGGGCGGCGGTACTGGCGGCGGCGGCGGTAGGACTGGAGACAGCGTTATCGCTGTGGCTGCGGGGTGCAGGGCCGTGCCCGCCGTCGCGGGGGCACACAACGGATGCAGGGCGGCGAGTGAGGGGCGCTGGCGGTGACGCTGACGCTGCTGGCCCTGGACCTCGCCGTTCTATTCCGAGTCCTGCTGCATTTTGACGTGGCCATTACCAGCGGAATTGCTCGACGCGCTGCCGCTGCTGGGCGGGAAGCTCGTGGGTATGGTGCGCGACGACGAGAAACAGAGCTTCATGATGTAGGGGAACTTGCCGTCTGCAACAGACAAGCGCGGCGAGGGGACCGCCTTGTAATATTTCCGCCGCCAAGCGAAGGGACTGCCGAGTCGACGGGGATCGCCCGGGTCGCAAACGTTCCGGGCGTTTCGAGTTTCCTCGAGTTCGACAGCTCTCGCTGTCTAGCGGGATCATCGGGGAGAGCTAGGACTTTGCACGAGTTCCCTGTGCATTGCGATTCTAATCGTTAGTTACGACGTCGCTGTCGACCCCGGCCCTCGTCCCGTGGACACCTCGGTTTAGAAAAGGTCGATTGGAGAAACTTGATTGCGAGTAAGGGGGGGGGGGGGACGAGGTGTAATCCGTTTTAGGAACAATGAACTGATACATACATACGTGGGCCATTTGAAAAGTTCTCGGAATTAATTATACATGCCATCGCACGCGGACGTCACACGTTAAATGACAGGTTCCACCTTTTTATCGGAACGCGTAGAAAGTCCCAATTCATTCCATCGAATAGATTCATCTTTGATAGGTCTGTAAGTAACTTTAGCGTAATTTTGGAAAAATGAATTACTCGAAGTGCCGCTACGATTAACAGAGTTTCGTATCTTTGGCTTTTTCGTCGAAGATACAGATACATTTCCTGAATTCCTTCGATTTCGATATAGGTAACAAGATGCACTGAATTGTTTTTCTGGAGAAAGATACAGCTACTATCTGTATCCGTATACTGGCTTTTAAAAAGATACCAAGCCCTGATTGCCACTTGCTGGTACTGGCAGTCAGAGCTTGGTATGTTAACTTTCTTTCGTCAAGGATACACACACAGGGTAGGCCATTTTAATGTGTATCCACTGAAATATCTCAAAATCTGTAAGTGTAAGACAAAAATGTTTCCGACACAAGTTGTTTGGCTTCGAGGGGGACATAAGAAAGTGACGTTTACCTGACCTTCAAGCAATTATTCAAGGTCAAATTAATGACGCCATCTTATGTCCCCCCTCGAAACCAAACAACTTCTGTCTGAAACATTTTTGTCTTAAACTTATATAGTAGATTTTGAGATATTTCAGTGGACACATTAAAAGGCCTACCTTATATAAGATAAATTTTCAGTGAAGAGATACAATATATAGTATCTGTACCTGTATCTTTTAAAGAAAAAAGATACCAAAAGCTCTGGTGATTAAGTATCCGCGAGTTAAGGTACGATTTGTTGTCGCATCCTTCGTTTTCGTCGGATGAAGACGTGAAAGAGGAGAATGATGGATATTTTGTATTACTTGATAAAGTTTCGTAATGAGTTAATGGTCTCGGAGCGTAGATGGCTCAGGTGCATTAATATAAGAAGAGATGACGTCAAAGGATAAAAATTGTAAAAGGACACGGAGCGGTTTTCCCCATTTTATTCCGAGCACTTTTCAAATGGCCCTCGTATAAAAAAAAATGTTCTCAAAAATCAAATACTTCGATTCGTTCCCAACGTTGATAACTTTTACAGTTGAGACGATGGTCCGTTTTCTCGGCTTTACCTTCCGATATGAAAACGATCGCGTCGAGAGTCTTGGAATGGAAGCATAAACGGGAACTAAGTGGACTTGACTACGTGGCACGAAGAGAATCGTAAAAAGCCGAACGAGAGAAGTGAAATCCGAGTCCAAGTCGTACGGATAAGCGATAAAGTCGCGTCGACCAACCGCGGGGTATCATAATCGCGTAAAATGCGCGCGAGCCGCTATCTCGCGAGAGAAATCCGAGAGAGTTTTACGATCCGCGCACGATCGTACGTACGATACTCACTGCTGTTCTCGAGCGCCGTGTGATTGCATTCCATGATAGCGGCCACCGCGATACCGACGCTGCTGAACTCGATCAGGCCGGAGGACGATCGTTCCGATTTCAGGGGGAACAGCTTGATCGTCGTCGGTGCCTCGATGCCGCGCTCCACGAACACGCGATTCACTGTTTCCTCGGTTAGATCCGGCGGGGTGTTGAAGAAGTGGACTATCTTCGACGGTGGTTGTATCCTGTTCTTGTTGGCCATCGCGGGATTCAGGAATCTGCAACAGTACGTCAAACATCGGGGATTGTAGACTCGGATGAAAATCGCGGCCCCCGCCGACCAGCTATGCGCTATACGCACGTGACATATTCATCGCGCGTATTCATCTGGTCTTGATTAGGTTTCGCGCCTCGTACAGTCGGGGAAAGTATACGAACGCCCTCGGCTGGATATTTTCGGACCGAGCCAGAATCGCGTCAGCTTGAGATATTATTGATAAAAACGCGGAACACGCCGATATGTCAATCGTCGGTTTTTGAAAAAAAGAGAATAGGAAATGCATTTGATATTTTTCGTCCAACGTTCACGACGATTGGACAGATGTATCGTCGTTCAACGAATTTCGTACAAAATATCATACTCTCTAAAAATCAATCGGAGAATTCTGAAAATAGTGAATAGTCACTGATTCACGTACGGTTGTAAGTATAATTTAAAAAAAAACTTTTTTAAAAAGGTAACAAAGGACGCCAAGTATAAGCGTACGATTCGAATAAGAACTGTATGATTTAATTAGTTGTATATATTTTATGTTACCACGAAACGTTTTTTAGATTTTTACAGAGTATTACATTTAGAGAAATTTACATAATTTAATCGGAAAAGCTAATCGGAAAAATTAATCATCGGAAACACTGTTTAATTGGTTTATCCGATGGAAATTTTTCTCAGTTTAACCAATTAAACAGTGTACACTGAGAAAAATTTCCATCGGATAAACCAATTAAACAGTGTATGTACATTGAGAAAAATTTTCATCGGCTAAACCAATTAAACAGCGTTTCCGATGGTTAACTTTTCCGATTACGTTTTCCGATTAAATTATGAATACATCCGAAGAAATGCAGTTACCGATGGAACTTGATTGAAAAACCGATCACATTTTTCATCAGATATATCCGTTTGTTATTATGTAATTGGACTATCCGATTGTATTTAATCGGACATTTTTCTCAGTGTACAGGACGACGAACATATCTCGAGATTCGGAGTGGACAGTTTCATCATCTCGAGACGCAAAGAAGCGATATCGGGGGAAAATTAAAGAACCTCGTAACATTACTATTCTTTATTTCTTCCTTTCCCGCGGACAGCTTTGATGAAGCCTCGAGGGGAATATGCCCGGCACAGAATTGCTCCCTTTCACGTTTCGCGCAATGCCGGGCGTCTTATTTCCAACAAAGATGTCAGCTTACATCCTAGTCCCTCAATTACGAGCGAACGAAAGCGGATTTCCGCCCGGAGAAGGAAAAACGTCCTCGGAGAACGTCTCCGCGCAGTTTGTCTTTCGCGAGCTTCGGGGAACTTCTTGCGATTGACTTCTCGCAATCAGAGCTCGCGCGCCCAGAACGGGAGGGGGACCCGCTTCCCTGCGGGCGATTAAGTTTTTCGACGAGGCAAAACGCCCATTTCGCCCGGCGGAGGCACTTTTTACCCTCGCCCCTCGAAAAAGCACGCATCACGCGGCGGTGTGTTTCTTCGCTTTGTTAAATTATTCGTTTTAATGAATTGCCCTGCCGCGGGACGTGCCTGAGCGAAGAAATTTAAATTGGCTCTTTCAGAATCGCCGTTAAATGAACGAGGGAGTTAGCGATAAGTCGAAAGGGGGGGGATTTTAGAAAGGAACGAGGAGAAGGGGTTGCCCACCCGGGAACTTTGAAAATTTTAATTTAAATAAATTGCCCGCGCTAACTGCAACGCCCCATTGTCGGGCAATAATTATACTCCTGGACAATGAATATCAGGTAAGGCGGGAGGGGCGGTCTTTTACATGAACCAGCCGTTAATTAAGCCAGTTTTGCTCCACATGCATCTCTAGTTCTATCCACGGCGCTCTTGTGTCGTGCGTACGAGAAACCAAATTTCTCCTTCCCGGACACGCAATTTTCACGCACGGGCGAAAACCTCGTTCGGAGACGGCGTCCGCGCACGCTCGCCGGTAATCCGCGCCGGCGGACAATCGGAAGAGAGCTGCAACTTAATCGGCGAGCCGGATATCATCAGGCACGCCCTTTCGAGCGAGCGAAGGGCGGCCAGCCGGCGAGCGCGCCGGACCAGACGCGAAATCGCGGCGGTGTCGTTAGCTCCTATTCAACCTTTAGATTTGATTCTTCCGCTCGAGCGCGTCCGCGCGTCCCGGAGCGTGACCGGGGACACAGAGCCGCGTGACTCGAACTGGGAGGGAGAAAGAGAGAGAGTGTGTGTGAGAGAGAGAGAGAGAGGGGGAGAGGGAGAGAGAGATTTAAATCGCACTCGTTTACGTGTCCTCATTTAATTAGTCTCCCGAGTTTAATCTCGCGGAGTACCATCGTAACTTGCCGGATCGCACCCCGTACGAGCTCCGCGCTCTGCGTTTTATCGCCCTACCCCTGTGAGATTCCGCGCGAGGGATGACGATGGGAGTAGGTCGATAGCGGAGGACCGCGTTATCGGGACCGTGTTTGCCAAGATCGATGACTTCGGCGCGAAGGGTGTGGGCAGGTCGATTTATTACGAGCCTAATCGATGTGTCCGGCAGGAATCTAATCTTGCGAGGGGCCGAAAAAGGTATTCCGATACATTTCATTATTATTGTAATATGTAACAAGGGGTCTTTAAAGCTTAATTAGACACGTTTGCCGGTCAAACGGAAGCCGTTAGAAATTTAGTATACTATACCTAGTATACTACACTATATTTAGTATACAATTGAAACGAGTAGCGTAATAATTTATACCGTTCATTTATCTTTGCACGGCATTGCTCATAAATGCCTTCGTTCTCGGGTACACGTGACAAGTAAGTTTAGTGAAAATTGTATCATTTACCGTTCGCGTTCGCGGTAAAATTATTCCTCCCGATCCATCGCGGGATCTAATGGCGAGGCGTTAAACGCGAAGCCGCGACGGATCGTTTCGCGCGGCACGAATTTGTCACGCGTGAGTTCGCGGATAAAACGCGCGATCAAATGGCGAGGAAAGAAACAGTCGCCGGGAAAACTCGAAGGCGCACCTTTCGCGACGAAAATTTATATATACATATATATACTCCCGTCATATATACAGGGCGAGAAAATGTCGCGGCGGAGAATGGGAGGAAGATCAAGCGGAGACAAATGGTCTTCAACGTGAAGGGGGCGAGGGGAGCGGAGGGAAAAATGAGGGGTAAAACGCGGCGAGTTGCCACTCACCTGTTATTCTTACTTCCCGTGAAGTCCTTGAAGCTCGCCGTCTTGTCGGGTAGTATGTAGGGGTTGGTTACATCTGAGAGAAAGGCCTGCTTCGAGAAGCCGAGCTGCAGCCTGCCGTCCGTTCCGATCGTGACGTTGTTCAGGTTCTGTAGACACCGTTCCACGGCTATGCTGTCTCCCATCTGTATCATCGCGCAACCCTCCTTCGTTTTCAGGAATTTAACCTGCGACGAAGAGACAGAGAGCAACTTGAGATTTGTCGTCCGGACGGGGGGGGGGGAGGGGGTCGCGAACCGACCAACGCGATCGGTCCCTCGTCGTCGGTAATTTACATAGAGAATCAGGGCAATGGACTGTACGCACTCTAGAAGTCAATCAGTGGATTATCACTGAAAACAGCGAATAGTTACCGATTTGCAGTTATAAGTATCATTGAAAATCGCAGTGGTATACTTATAACAGTAAATTGGAGACCCTCTAATCAGAGTCTGGCCGTAAGGAAGCACGCTGTGACTTGTCCGCCATTTTTCGTCAATTTGCGCCAGCTTTATAAAGTGGTGATTATTCAGTTTAGCTCCCTCATTCATAAATCGAATAAAATTAGGCCCATATTGGGCGCGTTTTCGCTCAAAACAAGAGAGTCTAGCAGATAAAAGTATCGCCCCGCGAAGCGAGATATAAATTGTTAAAGTTGACCACTTTTACGGGGATTAAGAAACCTGTCATATACCGACGAAATGCAAAGTACGAGGTCTGTCCCAAAAGGATCCGACCTCGTAGGTCTCTATGCTGTCTCCCATCTGCAGGCCACAAAGTAGATACCAGACGAAAGGTTTCGTCAAACTGATCGCAGATATGCCAGTCTGAGAGTGTACCTATTTAACGTTCCAGCGATATCGGGCTCCGAAGGTTCCATTCCATTCCAAACAAATGGTTGGTGTCTGTCCGGACGGCTCCATCGCTTACGTCCTGGGAATTTTTGGAGCCCGATATCTCTGGAACGTTAAATAGGTGCACTCTGAGACTGACATATCTGCGGTCATCTTGACCGAGACCTTTCGTTCGGCACCTACTCTGCGACCAAAATCGAATGCGAAAGAAATGGGGCCGATCTTGTTTCCACTCTTGCCAAAAACTTGGCAGTCTTTTAAGCGGCTCGGGATCGACACAACTGCGTTCTGTTGCCGACTGAACAGCTGTTGGGTCGTGCCGCTTGGTGGGGACACTTCTAAAGATCCACCCTGAATACTGAATACCTGTTTTTCATAATGGGACACAGATATACGCAGGAGGTCGGATACTTTTGGGACAGACCTCGTATTTTCTGCTTTACTAACTGCAGAGTGAGACAGCACGATGGCGCACATATAGTTTTCTCTCGCAGGAATTTGACGAAAAATGGCGGATACCAACCTTACCAAGTGATACGGCGAGACTCCGATTAGAGGGTCTCTGCTGTAAATCAATGACCGTTCGCTGCTTTCAGTGATGATCCATTGATCGATTGTTAGAGAATGGAGTGTGGGTTTAAAAGTATTCGATGCCCGCCACTTTAAACTTCCGTGCAGCCTTCTCGATAATTCGGCGAGAGTACGTTGTTCAGCGTTCAAGTCACTCCTCCGGTGTTTGATTGGAAAGCGCGTGTTTAATGAAGGGACCGTTTATGAGTCCATATAGCAGCGGGATTTGGCTCTTGTTAAATATAAACACATGAGCTCCCGCTAATCCTTGTTAAATGTATAAACGCACGCCGGAAACCGGAGGCTGCCGGTCGGTCCTCGTTAAACGCAGGTACGTGTGTCGTGTGTAGGACGTCAATGGCCTCCGTCGTGTTAACGCGAGGTACCATGACGATAATTAAGTCATGCGACCCTTTTGTTCGGTCCCACCAGCTCGTTCCATTTAACACTCTAAACACGTGCTATGGGCGCCACACAAAGGTGCAGGAGGGGGCGGGGTAACACGGACGAGAGGGCTGAAGATTCGGGCCACCTACCTTCGTCACGTTGCCGTACAAGCAGAACAGGTTGAAGAGCTTGTCAGTATTGACTTTGTCCGGCTGCAGTCCGTACACCATCATGACCGAGCCCTGCGTGCTGGAGGGCGGCGTTTGGCCCAGGGTGGGCACGTAACCCGGCCGAGGTGGCGTGGGATGTAACGGCTCGCGGCCGCTGAAATCGCTCTTGATGCCGTAACGCTCGACGTACGGCTCCGCGTACGTCGCCGGCCCGTTGAAGTTCTCCTCGTAACGATCGTGGCCGGCGCCCGGCGGGAAGGTGACCTGCGGCGTGGAGCCTGGAACCGCAGATGCACAACGAGCTGCAGATACGGACGTGGGAGATAAATGGCGCGCCGCGTAACACCGCTGTCGGCGGCTGTGCATCGTCAACCGTGACGGACACGCGAGTTCGGCCAAGTCGGCACGTCGCAAAGGAATCTCGCGAGTTTCGTTTCCGGAAGTGTGTACAACCTCGCGAGAGAACGCGCTTGCCTGACTCATGCTAACTGCGCGGCCACTCGGTGTTGTATGAATTTGAAGAAACGGAGTAATCTTCCTTTGTTACGTCCGAGGGGGAAACCGCTGACCGAAATCTTGTACGCCAATGCCCACTAATGCCCAGTGGGCATTACTTTATCTTATTTTATCTTTATAATGTCCCAGCAAGACCTAATCCCAAACTAATGCCCAAAAAAATGCCCAGCAATGCCGCCAGTCTGTACACCACAATGTCCTCAGCGGTTTCCCCCTCGGTTACGTCGGTACGGCCACCCCTCGATTTACGCCGAGTATTCGTTGCGCGTGTTTTCTTTGCGGTGGTTGAGAAAACTGGCGGTACAAAAGAAAGTACGTGAAAGAAGAGCCCGGTGTATGTTGCAAAAATATTTATTCCGCATATTTGCGCGCAAGTAATAATAATAATGAAAGGAGAAGAGTAAATGTTTTTTATCACTTGCGCATAAGCTTAATGTGTCCATCATCAGCCAAAAGAGACCAGAATGACAAACTAGATGCGACCAAGTACAAACCGTGGACTTATTAATTGTATAACAATTTTAATGAGCACTGCAGAAAGATATGTTTTTGGATTGCGTAAAACTGAGACTGATATAAAAAGTGCCGCGTAAATGGACGGACTGTTTACCACGTAAAAAGGGAAACCGCGTGTAGAAAACCGCGCAGCGGTGCCTTTGATGAATACTAATTTATTTAATTTATCATTGACCACTAGAGAGAACGAATTCCCGTAGAGAAGCAACCGAGCGCTACTTTTCAAAAGGGGGAAAAAACGTTATCGGCGAGCGGACGCGCCCTCCGTGCCGTTCGCAAATTCGCGGAGTCTGAAAATCCACGCAGAGAGCGAGGGAGCGAAATACAAAAATATAATAGATACGGCGAGGAGAAAATCAAAGCGAACAATTCAAACTCTCGGGCGGCGGTAATTCGAGCCGATGCGGCGATGGTTCTATTGGAATAGTAATGCAACGCTTTATGTAGCACGGCTGCGTGCAGCCGGGTATTAAATGTTGCGACAAATGGTGTCGATTCAGAACGTCGGAGGGCTATTGGGAAAAGTGTGTTGCCACGCGGCGGTGAGTTACGATAATGTTTTCCACTATCGGATTACAACTATCGCGCGCAACGAGAGGCCCGGAGTGGTTTCGATTGCAAGCCGCGCTGCGTTACGTATGGTTCATCGATTTCCCGTCAAAATCCGCAACGGGATCGCGGTCACCGGCGTTGACTTACGACGATAGTATTAGAGCTGTATCGGGGAGAAATTGTTTTCCCGGGGGTCAATATTAGGTGCTCAACAGTTTAGACGCCGCGCGCGGAAGATTGCGGCCTGCAACAGTTCGGCTGCAGGTCGACGCAGCAACAGCGCGTCACGTGTCGCTTACATATGTGACAATTTCACTTTTGCATTATTAAATCTGTCTCACGTGTTTGAGACAAGAGCCCTTTTTTTTTACGGTATTATAAGGGTCGAGAGAGATCTCGAAAGCTTATGCAGCTGCTAAAGTGGCGAGGATTCGAAACTGTTTCTGTAGATTCTGAGTCTTACATTTTTTAATATCCAAGAGCTCCAACGTTTAAATTGGCAATTTTGCGAATGCACGCGATTCTATTTGACTTATTGTATTGTGTATTTCTGAAAAAAAAAAAAAAATTTTTCCACGTTTCTCCGCGCATAAAAATCTAGGGTGCATTTTTCAAGAAACGTTTTCTAAACGTAGCGCTGTCCAGTCGACATTTGCGCATTTTGTAAGAACGGCGGCTCTTCCAATTTTCCGGTCAGTCTGTTCGTCATCGTAATTAAAGCCACCGAATTTGCATTGCATACGCTGCCGCGTTATGAATGCCATTTGGATCGTCGGCGAGGAGTCGCAATATTCCTCTGAGAAAACGTGGTAGGCGCGTTTTGCACTTGGTCCCTTATTAACATTTAAATGCCCGCTGAACAAGCTCCGCGTGCATTTGGCTGTTCTACAAAGGAAAGTTCGTCATAACGAGATCTCTTCAATTTGAGAAATTAAAATCTTTCCTCGCGCACATGGAAGCTCCGTTGAATAATTCTCGCGATAACTTGGGACGATCCGGCACGAAAGTTAACTTCTCCTTCCCTTCCCGCGAGCAAATGTGCCCGGCACACTTTTTCCTTCCCCGCAACAATGTTCGGGGCGTCGCCGGCACGCACTTGGCCGGCTCCTCCATTAGTTCCCTCTCATTCTTTACACGTGTTCGCGAAAAACCGGCGATCGTCCCGGCCATCTATTTTCCGAACCGGTGAGCTTAATTTGGCCATTAGGTACCCGGGAATAGGCGGGACGTTTGGATGGGACAGACGGCAAATAGACAGGCAGGTACTCACCGTACGGCTGGGGGGCGGCGCCGTATCTTGGCTCGGCCAAAAGGGGAGCCGGCCTTCCATTTCCTGTCGCGTCGTTTTTGTGTGTGCTCGAGCCTGCAACAGAATGACAGTTCGTCGATGAGACTATAATCACCTCCGACGGATACGTCGCGTAGTCCCACGTAGTCCCACGTGGGCAGCCGAGGAGACAAACGATGGCGAGCCAAATGTCGCCATTTATCCCGGCGTTCCTGGCAGTTTCGACAAATTTCCGCTGGGAATCGCCGAGCACGGGAAGCACAGGGAAAATACGAGGAAAATGTGGAGCTTCATGTTAATATATATATTTACGATTATAACTCACGTGTTTGCGTTGCTACGTACCCCGTTTCGTAATAGATACGTTCGCGCGGCGATACGCGCAGCGAGATGCGCGCCGCTCTAAGAGCCGAGGATCCGAGTTCAAATCTGATAAAAAAAAAAGTGCTTGCTTTTTACACGATCGCTACCTCTCGGTGAGGAGAGACGATCCACCGGAAGTATCTCGCTATGAACGTCCTTTCTTTATAGAAAGCTTGTACGGAATCGGCTTCTCGGAGCTTCTCGGAAAGGGCTTGCGTCGGGCGAACTTACGTAATACAATACCAGTTTATAATTAGGTCAACATCTGTAGTGTCTGCTAGAGATTCTGGTTTAACGGACTTGGGTTAACCAAACGTTGTAAATATCCCGTGTTTCATAACACTTCGCGGCAGATAATTGGTGTTGCAGAGAACCAAGTGTCTGAAAGTCTAGATCCAACAACGACATTGGTTATCAGTGGCCGTGAATGTACAGCCATAGACAAAATTATTAGGCACCCTTCTGCTCTCTGAAAGTCAATCGGTGGATTATCACTGAAAACAGCGAATACTCACAGATTCACAGTTACAATGCACCGATTGACTTTTAGAGAGTGGTCATTATGCTGTAAATCTGAGTGCGTGCTGCTTTTATACACACATATAGGCTGAAGTTTATTTCGTGAACCAGTCCCTTACCATGAGAAATGGATTACCGACCGAAATTGTAGCCAGCTCTGGAAAAATCTCGTTATATATGTTTCAATCGTGTAATATCGTAATTCTCAAAATACAATTAGATATTGCATGATTGAAACATATGTAACTACATGCCTCAGTGGTCGAATTGCTGAGACGTCCGCCTAGAAAGAAGGAAAGTCCAGGTTCCAGCCCTGGCTGAGGTAATATTTTTCGCAATAAATTTTCTGTATTATTAAAAATGTCAGATATGGTCAAGAAAACACTGAAGTTCTTAATTACTGCTGGCGACATTGAAGAATATTCTTGTTAATTGATATATAACTAGATCGTTCCATTTTTCCAAGGTTGGCCACAGTTTCGGCCGGTAATCCATATCTCGCGGTAAAAGACTGGAACACGAAATAAAACTCACCCTGTACGTGTAATCTGGTGAAGAACCTTTTGCACACTCTCTTCTGTTTAAAGTCGCGACGCGTGACTCGAAAAACGTCACTTACACATTTCTTGCCGTTTACAAATAATCCTTTTTGAATGGCAAGAAATGTGCAAAATAACGTATGTCAAGTCGTACGTTGTGATTTTACACGGAAAGAAGCGTATGAAAAGTGCTTCGCCAAATTACACGTATACGTGCACTGAAAAAAATTTCTGATTGAATATGGACGAATCAGATAATTCCTTTAGGATTTACCAGAATTCCTTTAGGATTGACCAGAATTTCTGTAGGATTACAGGAATTCTGGTAAATCCTAAAGGAATTCTGGTAAATCCTAAAGGAATTATCTGATTCGTCCATATTCAACCAGAAATTTTTTTCAGTGTGTATAAAGGTGACACACTTAGATTTGCAGTGTATTATTGATCAGGAGGCTGTCTAATAATTTTGTCTATGACTGTAAACTTTTACAGAGCAGTCATTCGAAAGTTTTTCATCAATTTGACGCCAGCGCCGTACTTCGACATTTCTCACAGCGAATTCGGTTGCTTGCACTAGCGCGAACCGAGTGCACGCTATGAAAACTTGTTAAATAATCTTTTTAAACGGCAAGAAATATGCGAAATAACGTTTGTCAAGTCGTACGTTGTGATTTTAAACGGAAAGAAGCGTATGAAAAGTGCTTCGCCCGATTACACGTATACGTGTATAAAAATAGCACACCTAGATTCCCAATACTGTACTGAATCTAATGATAGAAAGATTTTTATTGTTTAAAAGACGTTTGCTGCATAGAAGCGCGACGAACGCTTTACCAAACAATTTTTTAAAAACATAAATTTTCCAGCTGTTAGATTAAGTACAGTGAAATGATTAGCTGCCTAATAGTTTCGTCAATGGTTGTACGCACAAAAATTCTAATATTAAAATAAAGTGCGACGAATCACGAACGCCCCGGTCGCACCAGCCGCTTACGGCTGTTATTCCATTACAACTCAGAACTCGCCCGTTCTGGGGCGACGTTTCCCAAGCGAAAGTTACGTCTCGAACAATGCAATGTGTCTCGATCAAGTTCGTAACAAGAGATTGATCTGCGATGCGCCACGGCCCCCCGGATTGTTTAGGCAAGCCGGATGGTGACGGGACAGATTTCGCGTGATCCTCCTCATTTGGTTCTTCGTACACACCGCGCCGTGCGATACGTCTATTAAACCGCGTTACACCTACGTGTGCATAGTGACACGCGCGGGTGTCTCGCCGAGATGAGCGCGAGTTTCGGCGTTTTGGTACACCCGCGCGCGCACATAATACACCACACACGCCAAATGGTGCTCGCGCACCGTGTGCGAGTGATATCGAGCTTGTTGCTGCAGCAGTGGAGCGGCAACCTATATCGGCCACGTCCCTCTCTCGCCCGCCCCCCCGCAGAATATTCGATATCGCCACGTCTGCTCTCGACGCGGTTGTAACCACCAAACGGGAGATGCTCGCCTTCTCGTTTGAAATAGAACGTCCCTCTATCGCCCGAGCCGCATCAGGCCGCTTGATTGGCCCTCGCCGAGGAGGAAGCAATCGCCTTTAACCCCTGCTTGATCCCCCTGGATCGCGTTCGATACCACTCCATTGTGAACGTACAGAATCCCGGCAGATTAATTGCTAATTAAGATCAGTATGCTAATGCCGCCGTATAACTACGTAGGACGTGGCGCGTCGCGTTGGATTTAATTGCGAGATTGAATCACGAGATTCGAAGAGCAAAGATGTATACGTTCCAATCTTTGAAGATGGATACCGGCGGCACATATCCCTTTTAACAACGCCGCTTGAAGCGCGAAATTACATTTCGCGAGGGATACATTTTTTAACAATTCGATTGAACAATCCGACGCAACTGGCTGCAGGAAAATTTCCTTTATTGCAACACGACTTGTCCCTTTTCAAGAGTATTCTACGGCATCTAGTCGGCGTATGGCATGTGGTCAAATGCCATTAGGCCCACTGGACAGAAATGGGAACGTCAGGCTAATTACTTGTATGCTAAATATATCAGTACGATTTAGAAAGGAAATGCATTAAATAAGTTGAATACGTACGCCAGGCGTGTCGCTACAAAGACATAACGTCTCTCTACATAGATACGCATAATTGCTGTATGGGTACAGAAATGAGATTAAACGTGTGTAGGTCAGCCTAGTGTCAAGAATTAATATAAAGATAAATTATTTCTTCGAGATGCGGAGACAAGCGTGAACACATCTTGGAACTGGGGGGGGGGGGGAGGCATTACGATCTTTCTTGCAAACTCGATAACTATTACAGGCGAATTACAAGTGATTAGAAACAACTGTTTGTCTTCCCGGCTGTTGGACATACCGTATAAAAAATGTACAATCGAATCACTAATGGCGTAAAACGATTCAGCAATTCGCAAGTTTCAGACGAACAATAATAATTACGAACCGCTCTGAGTGATCGTCGGACTTCAGCGGCGCCGTGATAAAAGTCGTTCGTTAATTTTTCTGACGCGTCGCTGGGAGGCGTATCTCGCCCGCTATAGTGTACACACTTTCGATAATTACGCGACGCGCGAATTATTCAGACGCCGAGGACGGCGGGCAGCTGGGGCGAGTTTTTCAATGACGCCGGGCAAAGAGAACGACGGACCGTGTCCCGCTTGAGAAACAGCGCACCTGGGCTCGCGCGTCCCTCGAGAGCCCTTCGAGAGCCGCGCGCGAGTCCATGAAACTCGACGCCGGTGCACCCGCAGAAGTCTCGCGCAGGCTCGCGGAAATTGCGATTTCGGGTTACGCGGACGTCGCGCGGAATTTCCCGTCGTGTCCGCCCCCTGGTCCGGGGGTTCCCCGAGACAGCGAGACACGGCTAACGAATTTAGTTTCGTCCAGCGAGAACACCTTATCGACAACTTGGAATCGGAGCGGACAAGACGGCTCGAGTCATTTATGATCCTGTCCGACTAATCCGGATGAAGAAAGTTTCCCCATTCGCGCGGAAAAGGGATTCCTTACGTTTCCACCGGGTAAATCTCCTGTAAAATTTCTTTCTCTCCGTGCCTCCCGGGCGTCAGGCTCGAGCGATGGACCTTCGCGCGTAAATTAATAATGTCACCGTAAAGATACCCGCCGTCAGGCTAAATCAGTACGGACCCGACGTCGGGAATTTCAATCTCCAAAACAATTTCGTCACTAAATCGCTGCTGCCCATTACCAATCCGGGACAGGGGAATGGCTCGGTGTCAACTGTTAAGGGGATGCT